GGGAAAAAATCTGTTCACTCAATGTCACTCGCTGAAACCTCCAGAGTCTATCATTGGAATAACGGAGAGCTCCGTCTCTGCTGAGCTCCATAAATCCTATTATAAAGACTTAACAAAAGGATCACTATTTTTAGCAAACAAATAGTCTCCAGTTTCGATTTAGTGCCAAACAGCCCACTACGAATTGACCAATCTAATTTGCAATAGTTAGGATTACCCTAGCTCGACTTGAACCCAGGATTCAAAACTGAAAAGGCACCGGTTTACCTACTGCCCCACACAGACTCTTCACTCATATGGTGGGAGATTCAACTGTTCGGTAATATATACCGGAGTAAAGCTATAATGAGAAAATCATTAATGACTTTAATGACTTTTACATTTACGAGACAAAATATGTTTCCTAAATGAATGAGCTTGAAACTAAATTATGAACAAGACACGACAGAGATTCCAATATCGTCTTACCTATAGGACCATTGCTTTAAAATGTATGACTGTGCAGAATTTTAGAAAATTCTTAAATTTAGTGTTAATTCAAGAACTAGTTTTCCATAGCTCCTTTTAAATGGCATAAAACTGCCTGAAATTACAAATTTTCTAAAGTTCTACACGCTTTGAAATCTTAAGATGACGGTTTAAGGGTAAGTTGATGTAGTATTTCAGGCCTTGGGTGTCTACTCCTCAGATGATCTGAACTATCTGGCATGGACAAGTTAATTTCCAAGAAATAATCCAAGCTGGGTAGACATGGATGGCAACCTGGAGAAGAGACACTCAGACACTCAGGGGAAATCTGTCAGCAAATCAGATTCAGTCAGTCTAAGCAGCCACACACACACACCAACATCAATTTGACAAGCGAAAGGAAAGAAAGGAACTGGATGCTCAGTGGTGGGTAGTTCAAACCAGAACATTGTGGCAAAGTGCGCATGGAATATTTGGGCTGAAGTTTTTGGACAAAAGAAATTCCTCGATTGAGTTGTGATAATCTGCAGGAATATGCAGATAAAACTCAGCTTGAAAAACCTTTCATCAAACACACCTAATATCTTAGTGGGCAAATGCACTGTACTGGGAATACTTTTACTTCCAATATGCAATTCCTTTTGCATTAATCTGTATTGAACTTCAAATGCCACTGATCAGCCCAAGTGCATACTCTGTTGAACGAACAGCTATTACACGAAGAATGCTTACATGGATGAGTTATTGCGGGACTGCTGATGCAATGCAGCATGGCTTCCAACACCTCAGTAAAGTAAAGGCAGAGAGAAGCACCCATATCATCATGCAATCCACACCCTGCAGATCCTTATATAGCAGCATGTTCACGGCACAGATGGTGGAGCACCAGAGAGAGCTTTTTCTTGTTACTTAAATTTGATTTTAAATCATGAATAAAGATAAAAACATGAACACAAAATATAGCATGCGGTAGTACCCACAACTTGGAGTAGTGGTTGGGGAGAGTGGGGTGGGAGGGTGAAAGACAGACGGTAAATTTCATTGTAGTGGAAAACCCACTATTAAATCTAAGGAGAAATAAAAGCATTGGCTGCCAGATGTACTGGCCACGAGTGGGCAGGCTACACTGTGAGGATGCCCCTGGTAGCTAGTAACATAGGGTTTGCCATCACTATCTGTAACAGCACTAACTGAGGGACCAGGAATGGTTCATGACCAGGAAATAAGTTGTAACTTGGAAGAATGTCTGCCTGAAACTTGCTTAATGTTGCTAACAGCATTTTGGATTCTGACCCACAAAAGAGGAGTGAGAGACTGATCTGAGGAACAGCCTTGACACTTTTGCATCCTGCAAGATACCCGTACTATACACCCATGGTTCAAGTGAAGTAGACACAGCTGAAGAGGAGGTGTAACAGACAGTGCAGACAAAACTTCAGTCAGACCTCCGAGAGGCAAGAGAACAAGGAGAGACACAGCAAAATCTTAAACAATAAAATGTGTAGCTACGTGGAGTTTGAGCAAGAAAAGGGAAGAGAGGAATGGGCATGTTAAAGTGAACGTCATTTTTTTCCTTTAAAAAATGTTTTATTGAACACTTGAATGAACGGTAGAAAAATACAATGTTATTCACTGTCTTTACAACTCTGGCAGCTAAAGCAAAATACTTGTGTGATCAAGAGAAAGGCTCAATTCTTTGATGAAGTTACTGGCAGAAACTAAAGCCACATTTTTGCTACCTTTGATGTGAGTTTATAGCTGACATGCTGTAAAACCTCCAGCCTAGGAGGCACCGAGTATTTTACTCTGATCTCAGCTAGAAGAAAAGCTCCCATCCCCTGAGGCTGGGTTTAAGATGACTGCAGATTGATGAAATTCAAATCTAAGTAACCCCGACAGATCCCACTTTCCCCCTTCCCTTCCTCGGGTAAATTTCCACTGGAGAAATCTATTGCACATAAGGGTCCCCTTTTTGACATGAATGGTGGTAGATGATGGTAGAGACTGAAAGAAGCACAATCACTATATGATTGTTCTGAGCCTAAATCAGAACTTATTGGAAATTCCCAATGTATTCATTACAACAACCAATAACTTGCATTTATATAGCACCATCACCACGTAAAGGAATGCACAAAGAGCTTCACCAAATATTAATGTATTACTCCAGCTACCTGTCCCCAAACAATGAGATGAGTAGCCAATTCAACTAATTTTTGTGGAGTAGATGTAGGGGAAGATCAGCCAAAAATATCAAGAGGAATTTATTGAAAGCCTGGGAACTGGAAAGAAATTTGCAATCAAGGTGTGAAAAAGCTACTGGGGCTAGCTTGTGATCTTTAATAAAAATAATCCCTGCATTTTATATAGCGCCTTATCACGGCATTGAGATGTTTCAAAGTGCTCACAGAATAGGCTGTAAAGTGGATTAACTGTGTATTTTTGAGGGCAAAATGCGGCAGCCAATTACTCAAGCAGTGTCCCACAAACAGTCGTGGACTGACTGGACTTTGTGAAAGGTTTTAAATAGTTAAGAATTTGGACTCTCACATTATGGTTTATTTTAATGATGAACTGGACAGGAATCATCACACGAGAGGTATGATGAAGAAATCTCTTTGGTCCCATTTGACCTCAGACTTCTAGGTGTTTCTTAAATGAGTCCAGCATCCAAGCTTCCACCACCCCTCCAGATAACTCATTCCAGCTGTTGATTCATCCTCTTTGTATAGAAATACTTATTTCCTGGTGTTTGTCCTCAACTTGCGCTAAATCGAAAACTGTGTGGCTGAAGGCATGCTTGAAAAGATAGGAGGAGATTTTAAAAATGGGGGCAGGCGGCTAATTCTTTGTAATGAAGATGTATCCACCTCCATTCAACTTCCAGCCCCTGTTAACACCATCCTGAATAGCCCTGTTTGTACCCCACAAACCCTTACTCAGAGGCCACCCTTACATAAAGGCCACTTTCACCCAGTAACCCGTGTGGTTGTTGAAGACAGGTTTGAATGTATTCAATTTGAATACAATAACATATATGTGGAGTCCTGTAGCTCATTGATTAGAGCACTCGCCTCGCAAGTGAGAGACTTGGATTTGATTCCCGGCAGGGTGAAATGTTGGACAAGTTTCTTTACTCTACACGTCTCTATTTACCTAGCAGTAAGTAGAAACCCATTGTTAGTCGACTGGCGGATTGCTTTTCTGGGGGGTAATAATTCCTTCGAAAATAATAATAATAAATTGGTCACTCGACCCACAACTGTTTGTGGGACACTGCTGCCACATTTCGCCCACAAAATAGTCAATTCACTTTACAGTATATTCTGTAAAGCGCTTTGAGACGTTTCAAAGACGTGATAAAGCACTATATCAAATGTATAGGTTATTATTATCACAGAGGGACTCTACCATGATACTCTACTTTTAAGAAATATATGCAGCTTTATTATTAGTGTAACTGTTTGAAATACGTCTCAAGGAAAACATTCTGATATTAAACCTAAACTCCGAGAGTTAAACACATAAACTGTGCAAGGCTGATCATTAAACTTGCAGACTCCAGCATAAACATCCTGATCCTGTTTACACCAACAGTTCACTGCAGGTAGTGGCTCAGCCCTCAAGAGGCAGCTCCCAGTGGCAATGATGATTCAGCCTTGGATTTCCAAACAAGATCAGAGTTCTAATGCAAAAGGGGAAGGTGATACAAATAATTTGCTGTATCCTGTTAAAGCCAGTGTTAGAGGGATGATTTATGGCTTGTGCTTAGTGCAAATTGGCTATAAAATACAATCACTCCACTTTACAGCAAACACTGTCAGCCTGGACTGACGTAGACTGGAATCTACAACCTTCTGACACCAGATGCAAGAACAATAAACTCAGAACAACACTTTCAGATCTGCCAACACAGCAGAACGAAAAGATACAAGTTCTTAAAAGAACCTACAGAAAATCCACCAAGAATTAAGACTGAATTGAAGAATTTGCCAAATTCTGCATCTTCTGAAATAGTAATAGCAAATAGTGTTTAAGTCTAGACCCAGATAGAATTTGTGCAGGTGGGCAAGATTGGGAAATAAGACTTATCACATAAATAACGGTCATATGCGCAAGTAAGCAGAGGGACACATACAACAGTGCTCTAATAGAAGGCAAAAAGAGACAATATGCCTTCATAAGAACAGAGGAAAGGAGAACAACGACAGGCAAAATTGAAAAATATATACTGTGGTATCTATTGCACAAGCACTTTGTATAAGGAACAATAAAGTTGAAAATGTGATATTCACGAGCCAGAACCTTACATTCCCTATAAACTCGCTAACTCATTGGGATGTGGAAATCGAAATTTGATAAATCGTCAATGGCAGTCTGCACCCAATGTTTTGCGTCGCAATCTTTTGTCAGATTTTTCAGGCCTTTTTCTCACCTAGATCTCAACTTCTGGTTTGTGAGTAACCTCATTTTTAACCAAATGCACCAGAATATCGTTCAATAAAAGTTCAGAATAAAAGCTGTTCACTGACCGACTGGTGAGTTTTGGCAGAAACCGTCTTCACTGCATCAGGATCCCAGATAACCAGGTCACAATCCGATCCTACAGCTACTCTCCCTTTTCTTGGGTAGAGATTGAAGATTTTGGCAGCGTTGGTGCTTGTTACAGCAACAAACATGTTCTCATCCATTTTTCCAGTGGCCTGTTGGGACAGACTAATTAGTATCGCTGCTCATTCCAAAGACTTACACAACTGAAACATAGCTGAGAATGAAAACGTTCTGCTAACTGCACCTACATGTAGAATAGCACCTCATAAAGAGGTCACATTATTTCCAATCAAGAAGGCTTGAGCTGACTGGATTCCCCCACACTTACACTGAACTGTTCACAATGAATGGTGCAAATTCCGTTATACTGACAGGGAAGCTGTGAGTGGGAAGCCATAATGCCTGCGATGCAAGACAGAGCTTTCCAGGTTCCACTGGGTATGTTATTGTGCCTGGGGTTAGTTTCTGACAGGTCCCCACCTCGATCAACGGATTCCATGTTTACAAATATCTATCAGGGGACAGGGCTCATGTGGAAAATCTCACACTGGAGTACGTTTCAGACAACTGCCAGGCCAAACTTCATTATCCTCAAATCGGGAGCCACTGTCTTTTCCTATTGCCAGATAGGATATCTCTCATGCAGTACTTGGTAATGGGTCAAAGTCTATTCAATCCTTGGCTTACAGCAAAAAGGGAACAGAACAGCAATGCTCTAAAGTCACGTACCACTGCCTTGTCCCAGAGGATGGACATTCGTTCTTCTGCTCCGTTTGTGCCCTCGGGAATCTGGGTGAAATCGTCCTTACCGATCGCCTTCTGTGCTGTGCTGAATGTACAGTGACTGCTTCCGACCACCTGCAAGTCACCGCTGTAAAGGGACAGGTGCCATCAGCACATACAACCTCACCTCTAACAGTCAGAACAAGGCATCTGTCTCAGCATCTGATCGGTTATCTACGCCTAAACCCATCCTTTTCACGTATTTTCCGCTTTCTTTGGACAATGCAAAAAGGAGTTCTTGTGGTTCCCCATTATTTACAACTTTTAAATACTTTTTTGCTTCAAGATGATAATCACCCATTTTCCCCGCTTTGTTGCACCAGGTTTTAGTAGCAAGTATTTCCAGGTCAGCAGGAGGAGCTCCCAGGTCAAATATAGGGACTACAAATGTTTGTGGTAAAAAATCTTTAAATGGCTTTTCTCCCTAGTCTGTCCATTCAAGTGAAGTCTGAAGAGACAGGTTCACAAAGGGACGAGCCTTTGCAATTTGTAACAGATTATGAAAGAATTGCGTTTCTTTTTTCCTGTTAGGAATATAGTATCATGAGGCAAGTATAAATATATTTTTATTTGATTAAAAAAAAGTCCTAAAACAGCTTCTCTGATTGCCCGGTAGGCAAAGGCACCACTTGGTGTAGCTCTAAACCCACTGTCAAGATTAAAATCCCAATCTGTGCTGAGTTTGCTGATCTGAGTAAGGGCAGCAGTTAGAGCTACAATCAGCATTACCGCCCCTTCTGGGCAAAGAAAAGAAAAAATCAACTGGGCTTCCATTCCAGGATACAGTCCATAACAAGTGACCTATTAAGGAGAGATTAAGTTCTGCCAGGTGGATAGTAAGAAGTCTGCATTCTGAATTGACTTTTCCAATTCCTGCTACTTAATTCTACATTTCAGCGCCCTGAGACTCTACCCCGCACAAAAAGCACTATATAAGTGCAAGTTGTTGCTGTGCACTTCAGATCCTACTGAGCTTTACCTTGCTATGAGGGAAACCAGATAATCTGGAGTGGTGGGATCAGGACTCAGGGGTGGGGAAGTGACAAAAGCGGCAGCTTTGGCCCAGTTTTTGCTCCAATAGTGTGTTCCATCTGTCCCAAGACTAGCACTGATTGGCTCCCCAAAGACAACATTCCCTAGAAACCACAAAAAAGAAACATTGTGTGTTTACAGTCATTCTACAACATCTTTGCACTTAAAAGATGAATCAATCACACCAACAGGAAGTGAAAGTTGGGCCCCACCTTTTTTCTTGGCTTGCGCGATGATGTCAGCAGCATTCTTACTCATTACTTTCGTGACATAAAGGGGACAGTTGGTCTGGCCAGCGATCGTGATTGCACGAAATACAGCTTCTGCTTCCAGCTGAATAATAAAGAACACATTTAAAGGCTCGAGTCTCACTTTACAACAAAAACATTTGGCTCAAGCAGCTCCATCTGCTTGGGGAACAGCAGTAACCTTCTGCAGAAAATAGAAACTACATGATGTGACAAACCTCTACTAACTGCTGGCAAAGGGTAATGGAGACCTCTCTGGTCTGTTCAGGTTACACTCACCTGGAGGAGCTAGGTCCAAGGTACATTCAACTCCCTTCACCGCCTTCCCCCTCCGGCTGCAATCTTTTCCAGTCTGCCCTCCTCTGCTTTTCACTCTACTTGTTCCTCACTTGCACCATCAGTCTCCTTTTCAGACACCATCCCACTGCTCTCTGGAACTCTCTCACTAAATCATTTTGGCTTACTTCTCTCCCCCCACCTTGTTCCCTCTCTCCATACCTTCAAAATCCATGTCACTTTTTGTTCCTTGAATGTAGTAAATTGGGATGTTGGGGGTGGGAGGGGTTTGTTAAATTTGCATTCCATGTAGAATTCATCACATCAAACGGACAAGAACGGATTCCTGACATGTTCTCAATGGTGAATTTGGAGAATTCAAGTGCAGCTTGCTGAATGCATTCTTCACTGTAGTTGGGCCACTGGCCTTTAAACAATATTGCTCACTAAAAAGCTGCTGGTGAATGCAGCGATCCACAAGCCAACACTGTAGACACATCTTCTCCAACTTCACTATTGAGAAGGGAATGTGCGGATCTGCCACGCTTTTATCCAAAGTTAAAGCCGGCAACAGAGAAAGAGAAAGAAAGTGAGCACATTGAGAGCCTGGGCAGGGAGCTCGGAAGTTAAGTGAGTGTTTCAGATTTGCAGAAGTCCAGTCCTCTCTACAACTACACAATTTTCACCTACCTCAGAGGTGGCCCTTAATCTGCACAGCCTGTTCGCTGATCATATAACTCATTCTGTACTAAATGTACTAATTATAATTAGTACAGAAATGTACAGTACTGATCGGAGACATCTATTTTAAAAAATCCTCACATATGATATAGAGCCTTTCACGTCAGAGGACATCTCAAAGTGCTTCACAATATTTACTGTAAAATGTAAAAGACACTGCTTCCGAGAGAAATGTTAGAATGTGTTACAAGTGTCATGGTAACACTTAAGTCCTCCTGTTACCATGACTGGGAATGTTGATTCAATCCCAGCAGGTTTCCATATCCAGCAGTGGGCTGGGATCTCTGCCAGCATGATCACAATGCACCGAAGGTTAGGACTGAACCCCGTTCCCACTGGAATTCAGTAGTGCAGAGCCAGGGGCAGGGGAGGGCTGTGTCATTACAGAACCACACCTGGAGATCCCCAATTAAAGTGCCTGTTAAGAAAGTGCACCAGAGCTACCATCCAGTGCTTGGAAAGGCACCATAAAACACTAGTCATTTTGTAAATCTTCACTGGGGGAAAGAAAAAAAATTGCTGCTGTTTTTCTTGCACATCATATGATGCATGATATCATCCATGGCACTGGCACGCATTCCTGACCACTGAAGTCCTCAAGGACTCCAGACTTTTATCAGTGCGTGGTTTACATTGTAAGCACAGGGTATGTTGTTCCATTAGCCGAGTTATGTTTTCACAAGGTAGTTATTCATATCTCATCATTTCAGAGTCTCTGCAACAGGAAATGGCCTCTTTGAAAGTCTGAATGTCCCCTCTAGAAACATCAGCTAAAAATTACCGAGTGGAAGAGACATTTTCTTCAGCATTTTACCAAGTAATAAAAGGGAGAAATAAAACATGTGGATGAGGTTGGGCTGCTGCCTTCTTCTGTGGCTGCTTGAGGCTTCACTTTACGCTGATTATTTTGGTCTCCAGTTAAAGGGGAGATGTTGAAACAGATTCCCCACCCGCCCTCCGTGCCGTTGTGAAAAGGTGAAAGATTGTATCAGCCCACATCAATCACATACTGTTCCTGAACAGTTCAGGATGGCAGCACCATAGCTGGTCACCTGAAAACCAATTCGCTCGCTCAGAGGAAAAAAGATTTACTTATTGTGAAGCCCCATCTGCCTCCCCTATCTCCCCTCCCAACACACTGGAGTTGTAGAAGTGTTTGGTGGCATAAACTGCCTTTTCTCAAAACAAATCTCGCATTATGCGATGCTGACTCACGAGATATCAATTCTGAGGAGAACTTGGGTCACAATTGAAGTCTCGTGCCTCAGGAACATAGACAGTTTATGACCAAGGGAATAACTACAGAAAATTCAGGTTACACTTCACAACCTCTTTTTCTACTGTTAATCCACTGGTTATGCTGTTCAAGCACCTTCCTGAAGCCCATTAGCTGTGACAATTACCATACTGAACAAAGAGAACAGGATTACCTCCTCTGGCCTGCTAAGCACGTGTCCCTCTGGACCTGTGATCCCCATTTCCAGCAAGCGTTTTTGTTCCTAAAAGAAAAATAAATTGTAGAAAACAGTCAGTATGCAAGCCTTCCCAGATGGCTCAATGAACAATGTGTATTGGCAGGAAAAAAATTGGACATTGTGGGAGGCACCAAATGGTATCCCTTTAGCATGCAACTTATCAAGCAGGTTCACCCTGTCCATTAAAGCTTTGAGGATATGTCTACACTGACCCAGTTCAGCCTCAAGGATATCCCACTTATTACCATCTCCCCCCACCTAGTTAATTTTCAATACGGCGCTTGTTTCACCAACCTTAAAAAGGGTGAAGCAATGAGAGGACCTCCAGGATTTACACCTGCAATATAGTAGTACTCAAACAACTGAGCTACTTGGAAAAGAGAAGAGTGAATGTCCTTCACAATTCATTGAATAATAATCCTTGCATTTGGTACAGCGCCTAATCAAACCATCAAGACTTCTCAAAGCGCTTCACAGGATCTTACTAAGTGATGTGACCCTGTATTTTGTGGGCGATCCTTTACCCCTACCTCAAGCATGTGGACGGTGCTTTACCTGATCAATTATGTCACCGTTTTCAGCGTGGACCTGCAGTATCCCCCCAAGCTCTCCCACGTACTTGCAGATTTCATAGAGCTGGAACACAAGGAGGAAACAGGTCAGTTTACACATGAACAGGCCAAAGGCACATTATAAAGTCTTACTGAAGCATATGACAATTGGCAGATGACAAAAAGGTATATTTATTCAAGCAATATATCAGGACAGTATGTACTCAGTTATCTACATTCAAGTTTTGAAACATTTTCAAGTCTAGAAACATTACCAAAGAAACAAAGCTTGGTGTGAGATAAAGCCACTTAGCTCAACACACATCCAGAGAGAGAAAGAGGGAGAGAGAAAGGGAGAGTTTGAGAAAAAGAGATAGAGTCGAAGTCTACAAATTGATATTTTTTAAATCTTGCCAGTAAAATACAAGTGCTTAAATATATAGTAACTGTAAGTCAACGATTATCTTTCTTAAAATTTAAAATGTGTGCCTTACGGCTCAGGGATTCGAGTAAATTAAATTTTTAGATTTTATCTCAACATTCAACGATGTAAACCTATATTGAGCCCAAGTAAAAACATGTAGGTTTTCTGTTTACCTCCACATTTGACATCTGATAGTAATCTTTGTACGCCATGTAAACTAGGAAAGAGTTCACACCTGTTGGTGAAAAAACAGTTTAGAGAATGGTCACCCAGAAAGGGGACTTGCATCAGCTGTACCAAGTGAGACAATAAGTTAATGATGCACACTGCAGCATTTCTAAACCTCTGGATATTAGAATCCACAGAACAGAGGTTCAAATCCTCTAGTACTGGGGGAGTGCTGCATTGTCAGGGGAGATGCCCTTCAGGTGAGAAGTTATACTGCTTTTTCTTCAGGTGAACATTAAAGATCCCACAGCACTATTTGAAAAAAAAGTTTCACCTGGTGCTCTGGACAGTGATTCTCCAAATGAATTGGCCGTTCACTTGATGATTCACCTGACAATTGCCCTCTCATTACAGAAGGACGAGAGGATGGTGTTGTGTGTATTCTGGGAGAATGAGGTCAAATGGACCAAAGGGTCTTCTTCCACTGAAACTCTCTTACAACTGTGTAATTCATCCTTAAATTCAACCTCCTGTTTCTTAGTTATCTCATGCCCCTCAGACGTTATATCAATAATTAATTTGTTCCCATTTGTTTACACATGACAAGCCTTGTAATTCTTGTTAAATCACTTGGACTGAATAATTCATGGTAACCCATTGTTCTTTAAATGCTACCAACTGCAACCAGGTGTAGGAACAAATGTGTGGAAGTCTCATTAATAATTCACTGGAGGGCACAGCTGAGACAGCAGTTCCTAGTGTAGCACAGCTCGCCCTGTGACAGCCAAACACGCAGTCGTTAACAATTGTTTCCAACAAGTATACAATGACCCCATCTGGAACAACAATAATTTGCGCTGGCATAACATCTTTCATATTGGGAAAATGTCAAAGATGGAGTGGGCACCCGAGCTATATCTTTGCATTTAATATAACGGCGTTCACTTTGGGAGGAGACGCTTTATACATTCATTGTCAAATGCAGTGACTGTGCATTTTGTAGGCGAATGCGACAGCCAATTTGCACGCAGTAATGACCCACAAAAAGCTCAAGAAGCAGAATTAAAAGAGAAATAGGGGCAAAGGGTGGGGGGAATGGCTACCTGAGCAAAGCACAGTATTCTTGGGGGAACCTTAATATTTAGAATTGGCAACAAGGTTCTTACAGCCAAGCCTGATCCTGTCGTTACTTGTTCAACCACTCGCTAGTGATAAAGAACAGAAACGATGTTGGGGAGTTCTGAACTAATCACAACACTCTTTCCTCGGCTGACATTAGCTAACGCAATACAGACCAAGGATGGAACATAGCATATTTCTGGTGTGTTTGGTGCAGCTGCTTACTGAATACATTCACTGGGAGCCACTGGGGAAGCTCTAAATTATTTTTTTTAATCTGAATGTACTTCTGAAAAAAATTCACAGTCGGGGGGAACAGGGTTGGCAAATGAAAACTGAAAAGGTCAAACAGAGAAGCAAAATATGGGTCAAAATCTGGGGCTGCTTAACAAGGGCTGTTCTCAAACATAGAGGCACTGAACTGAAGAGCTTTCTGTGATCCTGCGCTGCCTGCGGACTCCATGTCAATCGGTCCTCCAGAATGTCATAGAATATAAAAATATGAACTGACGCTCTCAGCCTTCAGACAATCACCACATAGAATTTTGGAAAATTCTTAATTAAGCCTTAATTTAGAAGCTAGTTTTCTTTCATGATATTCATAAGACACTGTTTCCAAAATAAGACTGATTTTTTACAGAATGCAAAATTCTGCAATGGTTTTTTTTACATCAATGGTCTTAGTGCTAGGACATGATGAGCAGCTTTGGGGCTCTGTTGTACAGACCCTTGTCACACTGGCCCCTGATGCAGTCAAACAGTGAACAGACCTTTCTCTTTGACCAGAGTCTGAATCTCCTCTTTGACGCCCTCGTTCCAGTCAGTGATGTCCATGTGGAGCGAGTAATCGCAGCAGGCTTTGCTGTCCGCCCAGTCCCGCCACTTCTCGTAAGCTGCGATGACGCCGGTCTCAGGGTCGGGGATCACGTGGTCGACTGAAACGAAAATAAAACTTGGTCAAATTTGAGGCAGCCACTAGCTGACAGCCATGCTCACCCCCAGTTTAATGGTCATTAAAATAATAGAGTATAAAGGATGTCAACCAACCATTCAGCCCAGTGAAGTAAGCACATCCACCCCCTACCCTATTGTACCTGAACAGTATTTAACTTCTTTCTTTCAGAAACACCAGAGTCACTGCAGGGCTCCAGGAGATCATTACCTCTCAGGGCCTGCCACCACGCACAGACACAAAAGAGAGACACACACACACTCACTCACAGACACAGAGAGAGACACTCACAGACAGACACACACACAGTCACAGACACAAAGAGAGAGAGGGACACACACACACACATACATACTCACAGACAAAGAGAGAGAAACACACATACAGAGGAGAGAGACACTCACAAACACACACATCTGAGCAGCAGGGCCTCAGAGTGGAGTGAAGCTTATTTCTCGCTCACTGCTCTGTGTCGTTATTGTGGGGGGTGGGGGGCAAAGGGTGGGGGGGGGGGGTGTAGCGGAATGGGTGTATGTAGCAGATTTAGCAGGAAAACTGTGGCCACATTTTTCTGTTGGCCCATTTCATAAGTAAACCTGCCATGTAACGACTCATAGAAACAGGAGTAGGCTATTCAGCCCCTCGAGCCTATTCCACCACTCTATTATATCATAGGTGTTTTGTACCTCAACTCCTTATAACAGAGTTCTCCTGTATCAGTTTAAAACTATTATTCACTTTTACAAATGTTCCCTTTGTCTTACTTTCTCGTTTAATCCTAAGTAATACTGTATTCTAGAATTTCTCCATCTAGACATCAAGTTTATATAGAGCAGCAACAAGGTCTCCTCTTAACTGTTAACTCTTACCATTTAAACTGTAGCAATTACATTTCTCTTGGCCAGCTTTGTTTCACGACTAGTGTTGTTCTTCTCTGCTGCATTTTCAAAGCATGTATATGTGGTGAACAGAACTAAACACGGTATTAGCTGTGGTGTGCACTGCCCAATGTTGAGTACAATCTCAGACTTGTACTCTGTTTGTATACCACCACTATGCTTGTTTTTTAATTATCTGCTACACTCCCCTGACATTGAAAGTGCTGAGTCCACTTTATAAAGACGTAACAAAAAGATCTCTAGTGTGTGATGGGAAGGCAGTAAGGTGGAAGGATGGGATCAAGTGGGCCGAAATGCCTTCTTCATCCAACCCAATCTTGTGATCTTGTTAACAATTGGTGCGTGATAGATCCAATCTCTCAGTTGAGACACAAGTACATACGGCTTATATAGCAGTGTTTTGTGGAAGCATTATACACACACAGAATTCAACAATCTCAACATTAGACTCTAATTTACAGCATGTGAAAACGTGCAAATCATTATATATATAGTGATAATAATCCTTGCATTTGATATGCTGCCTTATCACATCTTCTGAGATGCCATAAAGCACCTCACAGAATATACTGCAAAGTGAATTGACTGCATATTTTGTGGGCGAAACACAGCAACCAATTGCGCACAGCAGTGTCCCACAAACATTTATGACCAATTTATTACTTAAAATTTTTTTTTGAAGGAATTATTACCCCCAGAAAGCGATCCGTCAATCGACTAAGAACCAGGTTCCTACTTACTGCTATGTAAATAGAGGAGTGTGGAGTAAGGAAACTTGACCAACATTTCGCCCTGGCCGGGAATCAAATCCAGGACTCTCGCTTGTGAGGCAAGTGCTGTAACCATTGAGCTACAGGACTCCATAAAGCGCCTTATCACGTCATTGAGACGTCTCAAAGTGCTTCACAGAATATATTGTAAAGTAGATTGACTGTATTTTCTGGGCGAAACGCGGCAACCAATTGCACACAGCAATGTCCCACAAACAGTCGTTTCTCAGATGTTTACAAACTTTAAAAGAAAGGTAACTTTAAAAGATTCTTCCTCTTTTTTTCAAACTTTCTGTGGACATGCACCACCTGTAGTTACTCAGATAGATCAACTCAGTGAAGGCCAATGTTTCTGATCCACCGGCCTTTCCTCTCCAAGGTTTCCCACAGATTATGCAATTGTCACAAAATGAAAAGGGTTTCAGGTGAGTCTTCCTCCTTCACTCACAAACATGACTGATCACTACTGATGTGTAATGAGTGTATATATTGGCTCCACTGGCTCCCCATCCCTCAGAGGATTGAGGTCAAAATTCTCATCCTCACCTTCAAGGTCCTCCATGGCCTTGCCCCCTCCTATCTCTCCGATCTGCTAACCCCTTATCAACCTGTCCACTCCCACTGCTCAGCAGGGGCCAGTCTGCTCCATGTCCCCTGCCTGGTCCGCCCCACCATCAGCAGTCGGGTCTTTAGCCACTCTACCCCCACCCTCTGAAACTCCATCCCACATTCCCTTCGCCTCACTCTCTCCCTTGCCTCCTTCAAGGCATGCCTCAAGACCCTGCTCTTGTGCCTTCGGCCACCCTCCTATCCTCTTTGCCCTTCACCCTCCCTAATCCTGGTCCCAACACACCCCCCCCACCTGGGTCCTAATCCCTGGCTGTCCATCACCTCGGGACATCCTCCTGACGTGAAAGGCGCTTTACAAATGCAATTTTGTATTGTATGATACAGGTCCAACCTGAATGTGCAAGCCTTAAGTGCTGCACTGCAAACAGGATATGAATATTGACCTAAGGACAGGATGAGACACACACCCTTTCCTTATTTCCTGCTTTCTTATGATCTAATTAACCTTGCAACACGATTACCAGTCCATTGCAGGCCACATGACACATTCGTTAATGTGTTGATTTTCTGTTTCACAGCAGTCTGTTGCATGTGCAGCCGGTGCTGAGGAATCCTATGCAACAAGAACAGGATTGCAAATGCCTTAAGCACATACACTCATTTCACTTAGAACACTTCACCCTTTCACTGGCCACATCTGATTAGAAAGCATCTCTGAAAATAGCCCCAAGCTCCCGACTCCTTATGACATTCTTTGTCTCCACTGAATGACTGGACTTTGTAATTTACTAACATATTTATTGGACTGTTTGCATTTCATTCACAAAATGGTTTATAATAGGGGGGAATTATAAATTGAGCTTTCAATTAAAGCTGCCATTGGCAAATTTTGTTCAAACCCAACATATATATTTGTGCTGGTTATCACCCTTACAAAAATAAATTGTCGCATTTTTTTATGCTAGGCGGAGAAGAGGTGGAAAAGCCTGTCTTTTTTGTTATATCTCACAGATGATTTGATTCAATGCAATTCACAGTCACTTCATGTGCTTATGAGGAAACCTCTTTGTCAGATGCTTTTCAATGGGGTGATAGTCCTTCAATAGTCATCAGAGATGGCAGCCACTTTCTTGTCTTTTGTCTGGTTGGATTCAAAGATTCTTAGCGAGGTGAAAGGGCAGGGTTCTAACCCACTGCACAAACCAATCACCTTTGAAAGAGCATCTGAGACGAGAGTCAACATGCAATTACACACAGAACAAAACAAAAAGTGAAAGCAGCACAACCCCTATGGGAAATGTTCCAATTACTAGAAATCCACATACTCACTAAAGAGTTTCATCCAGTGCTCAGATGGTTAATTTATTCCCCAGTGTAGAACCAGGCTGTACAGACCAGCAAACATCCCAGGTTCAATGCTCAATATGTGGTGAATTAGTTGATCCCAGCTGGGATGGGGTCAGGGGTGCAAAATTTGCCCTGAGGGCCTCTGCGATATGGACAGGAAAGAGGTTTCTGATGTGTTCATATGATTTTGTGTGTGTATGTGTATACAGAATACAAGGTCACTACATTTTACAGTATGTATTGTGAAGTGCTTTTTAGATATCCTTCTGACATGAAAGGTCCATGTCAAAGAGAGATGCTATATCAAACAAACTTTTACAACAGAATTCATGGGAATATAATCTCAATGTTAATCAGAGCCTCAAGGAGGGGGGGAAATAAAGCCTTCCTATACATTTCCCAATTACTATTAGGTGAAATTTTCTTTCAATTATTTAAATTGCATTTGACTGTCATTCTGTCTTTTTACGACGGAATCGTGGTTCTAATCTCTAAAGAGATTATGAAAAGTTGCCTATATGGTTTAAAACAAGCTTTAGGCCTGGATTAATTTTGCACAAAGAAACATTAGTCAAGTTGACACAGAATCCAGAGATGAAGTGAAGTGTACACAGAATGAGCCGTTAATGTAGATTTCCTTCCTAATTATTTATATATGTATTATATATATATGTATATAGAACTCACTCTCCCCACAAGGAACCTTTACATTTAAGTAAAATGGGTTTAGGGAAATGGGAGCTAAATGTGGAAGCCCGGGTGGGTGGTGTTGGGGAGGAGAAAGGAGAATATAAAACTCCACACGCCACACATCCCAAGCCTACACATTTTTAAAATCCCAAGTGTGCGTATGCGAATCTGTTCAAAGACTTAAAACAGCAAAAAATAATATTTCTGCAGTATGCTCTGTGCATGTGATGTGATTTGGGAGGTCAACAAACAAAGCTGTGTGCTTTAAACCTGACACCCTTTGTGGAAACGTTAAAGATTTATGCCTTGGTTTTACGGTGCCATTTGCTGTCACCATGGGGAAGCATTGAAATCCATATTTGGAACGTTCAGTGTATATTGGGAATTCTCCCAATTTTCCGACTTCCCCGCTGCCTTGAAAGGGGTTTTTTATATCCCCTTGGCAAGAGTTTTGAGTCATTGCTATGAGTAGCTCGTGTTGATGTGCAACATGTCTAACACAAGCCAGAGCTCAAGGTGCCGGTGATTTCTCTAGAGTGGAATTAGTCCTTTATAACCACATGGGTAAACTCCTCAGAAATGCTGCAGGGGCTTCAGCCAAGCAGTAATGACAGGGACTTGAAAACAGGCCTTGATAGTTCTTACCGTGCCCTGACTGCTCGCTAAGGTTGTGAACAGCGAGCCTCTTTTAGAATAGCAGCTAATGTGCAGCCAGAGTTTAACTCTCCTGATGCCTGCATTCATTTCCCCCCCTCCACACCCTCCCCCCTCTTCCTTCCTCCTCTTTAAACTGTTCCAATGTGTATCCGTAATGTATTGCCCAAAATAGAGAGGAGCGAGTTATTTCAGGTAACGTTATTGTGAAGTAATACTATTCTCAAGTTATCTCGTGCTCTGAAGCCTATAGTGAAAGCAGACTGTGTGCAACGAGGAATTAAAACCAGGCATTATTTCATTGTTAATGGCTACCATTCAGACTGGCATGTAGACTTGGCTAGCATGTGCTTAAAAGCACTTCTAATCAAATGGTTAACCTTGATCCCCACTTAGGGTTTACTGCTGATTTTGTTGGAAATGAACATTATTTATTTCCAGTATTTTAAATTCTGACAACTTTGCTCGGAAACAGATGGTGAAGTCACTTGAAATATTGGAAGTTACAATATCAGTCTCTTGGTACAGTAAACAGTACATACACTTGAAGGGACTGAACAGCACTTGTCTGCACACCAAAACTGTCATAATGAATATACCCTAACATATACATTTAATATAAATATCCTATTTATATTATAAATGAATATTTATGTGCCTGAGATCACCTCCCCACTCCCCACCACCACCCTGGCTCGGTGTTGTGCTCCACCAGTGTGAATCGTTCTGTGAGACTACCCTGCGTGATGGATCTATATAAATCAACTTATTTTTTTGTTCCCTAAACAATGTTATGAAAAGATTTCTGATATGCATAAAAAGGCCATTCTAATTTGCACCTCACAGAATCAATTTTCAATGTCAAACTATCCCAAGAGACACCAAATGGCACATTTGACTCCCCCTCCCCTATTGAAGGCTAGGTTTCTTTACTTACACTGGCTGTTCGGTTAGGCCTGGCTTCCTTTCATTCAGCAATGGCTAAACCGTTTCTACATTCAAAGTGCTCAGTGAGAAAGTGCTTTGAAACTGGGCCTCAAGTCACATTTAGCTTTCTTCATGACCTTTAGCTCTTTATATTCTGGATGTGGACAAACAAGGTTTTGTGCTCTACCATGACCGATTCACTTCATGATTAACACATGACATTTCCCTTCAATCTTTCTTTCAGTAAACACAGAACAGATTCTTGACTGAGCCTCTCGAGTTTCTAGAGGGCAATATGGTTAGAGATGCATTTTGAACTTCTAGAAAGTGACTCCGATCCTCCTTATAGAGATGAGGTGGTGGCGGGGAGCAGGGTTTCCTTACAGCAATCCTTAGAGAGGTACCGGGAACAGGATGCTTCCTACTCGGCTGCTGTTAACCCTACAAGCCAAAGCAATAGGATGGTCCTAGTTGGAAAAGCAGCGTGAAGCTTGCAACTAAAGAAAACTATGCAGTTTTAGCTGATTAAACTCCAGCAGTATTCTAACGCACACTCTGGGGTTTTCGAGCTTTGTCTCTCAACAATTTGTGCCTAAAAACTCTCGGGAATTAGGTAAACAAGGTGGGTCCCTCTAGGGAAAGAGTGTAAATTTCATCTGGAGACAAGGAAAATGTCCATGCTTAGGTCGGATGCATTTTGGAACTCTCAGCCTGATTTGGATACCTTTAAGCATGGCAATGGTTTCCGCATGTGTCAAACACCTGGCTAACCATAACAAAAAGTTACTTCAAAAAAGATCTTCTGAACGCGATACGGATACACCCCATCTAGTCCATAATCGCCATTAGTTGCAAAGCTAAGTTAGCTTACAATAGAGTGACAATTATCCACAACAATCAGTACTGGATCCAATGCAGCTAAGCAAAATGTAATACGAATCCTAACTGGATGTTCCTACTAAAATATTCTTCCATTGGGAGGTATACTGTCACTACAGTGCCACACTTTGAGAGACATTCTCTAGCATGTTCCTTCACTCCTTTACTCTCTATAACTCTTTCTTGAACTCTAAATCCACACTGCACAAAAGTATAAGTGGAGTCCTGTAGCTCAGTGGTTAGAGCACTCGCTTTGCAAGTGAGAGACCTGAGTTCAATTCCAGGCAGAGGGCGAAACCTTGGGCAAGTTTCCTTACTCCACACAGAGCCTAATAATAATCCCTCCAAAACCAAAAACAATAATAAAATTGGTCATTTTCAATCTACGACTGTTTGTGGGACATTGCTGTGCGCAATTGGCTGCTGCGTTCGCCCACAAATTTACAGTCAATTCACTTTACAGTGTGTTCTGTGAAGCGCTTTGGGACGTCCTTCCGATGTGAAAAGCGCTATATCAAATGCAAGGATTAAATTAAATTAAAAAATTACCTTTTTGTGGCCAACAAAATAAATCAAATTGTGCGAAGGAGTTTCAAATTGGTGAGATCCTGGAAAGATTTATGGCAATGTGTTGTAATTTCACTTGCAAGCCTACAAAATATAGTCAATTCATTTTACATTATACTCTGTGAAACACTTGGGAGACGTCTCGAAGATGTGATAAGGCGCTATATTAAATGCAAGGATAATTATTTTTATTATTATCAGCTCCAATGAGATCTCAGGTGCAAACTGAGGTCCTGCAACTCTGCATGACATGCAGAGGCTATCCTGCAGAAATGCTATTCAAGTCACAGGTAAGCAGCTTAGATATAGTGAGGCTATAGGGAGGAGCAAGAGTGTACAAAGGTATATTTGAGCTGAGGCACAAAAGCAGAAAGCTCAAGGACTATTGACCATAGCCATATCAGTAAAATAGAGAAAGCCTATTTTGATGAGGCTATAATTTCTGTTTATTTATTAATTAAACATGATCATTCTAAGCTTAGGTGACATCACATGATCACAAGATTGGTTTGGATGAAAAAGGCTAATCTATCCATCCAATCTCATCCTTTCCAAAACAGCCACTGTTTTACAGTCCCTCCATTACTGCATGACTTTTTAAATGAGCCCAGTTTCCTGGCCTCAACCACCTTTCAAGGCAACCTATTTAGGTCATTGATTACAACTTGCATTTATATAGCACCCTTCGCGGGGCAGTGCTTAATTAACCTCAGCATAAAGAAAAACTTACCGGTATCTGTCCTGAAATTGCCCTTTACGATTCTAAACCTATGTGTTCTTGTTCCACTGTCTTTATGCATCATAAAGTATTGATCTGGGTTTACTTTTTCAATCCTGTTTAAAATGTTATTCAACTTTATGAGGTCGCCTCTGAGTTATCTCCTTGAATATTGCATACAATACTCAAGGTGTGGTTTGATCAGAACACTATACAGACTGAGCAAAATAGCCCAGCATCCTGTTTGCCTCGATTATTGCTGACTCACACTGTTTTGACATAGTCAACAATAAGTCAACTAAAACCCCTAGATCTATTTCACGTGAGAGTGAAACCAATGCAGCAGCACTGACAGGTAGCACTGACTGATTGAATGTCACTGAAGCAATCCTGCCAAAGAGGAATCAATATTGTCAGGAGATATGTTGGCATCATGTTTTATAAACCTTCTCCGGATTACAAAGAGGGACTGGAAAGGAAATCCGAAGGCTCTGGGAAGGGGCAGAAATTGAAGCAGATATTGTATGTTGAAGCCACAGCTCATAGAGCAGAAAGCACTATTGGACACAAACCAACAGATACATTCATTTCCATTGTGTCCCTGTATCTGTTGGTTATAAAGAAAATCTCTAAAAAGAAATTTCAATGCAGATGTGAGGTGTTGCAGTTTTATATCGTGGAAATAAACACAGGGAATGTTATAAAATAATTATATTAATGGGCCTTCCATTCCAACAATCGATCTCTGGAATTTCCATATGTAGGTGGGATGCATGGAATTCTCAGTTTGGTTAGGATACATTTAAACACGTTGATGAATTTCCGCATGTATCAGACACCTACCTGGCTGACCCCAATTATTACAATATTAATATCGGAGCTTTTGTGTTAAAAGTTCCATTTACCTGTGTAAAAATGTGTGCAGCGCAATGTGTTTAGTGTAAAAATGTACTTCAAGCAGCTGAAACAAATTTACTTTTTAACTAAACTTTACTCACTTATCAGAGTGGTTCCACCTGCCAGGGCAGCCTTGGTTCCCAGAGAGAAATCATCTATGGTGGTCGTCCCCTTGTAGGGCATCTGAAAGTGCGTGTGCACATCGATTCCCCCTGGTATAACCATCTTGCCATGAGCCTCGATGGTCTTCACTCCTCCAGGTACAATCAGGTTGTCGCCCATTTGCCTGACATAGGAAACAAAGTAAGTAATATAATAATAATAATAATCCTTGCATTTGATATAGCGCTTTTCACGTCGGGAGGACGTCCCAAAGCGCTTCACAGAACACACTGTAAAGTGAATTGACTGTATATTTGTGGGCGAAAGCGGCAGCCAATTGCGCACAGCAATGTCCCACAAACAGTCGTAGATTGAAAAATGACCAATTTAATTATTGTTTTGGGTTTTTTGGAGGGATTATTATTAGGCGTGTGGAGTAAGGAAACTTGCCCAAGGTTTCGCCCTCTGTCTGGAATTGAACTCAGGTCTCTCACTTGCAAAGCGAGTGCTCTAACCACTGAGCTACAGGACTCCACGAGGAAGGCTTTTCTAAGAGTGTCAACAGTTAAAAANCACTTAATACAGCGAGCTCCACACCAATCAATCAATCACCATGTCAGGACTTTAAACTCAAAGTCCACAATGACAGTCCAATGCAATGCTGGGGGTGTACTGGATTGTCAAGACGTGCCATCTTTCGGGTGAGACATTAAACAGAGGCTGCTGTTGAGGTAGACATTAAAGATCCCAAGGCACTAATCGAGAAGAGAAGTGAGTTTCTCCCTGTGTCCTGGCCAACAATCTCCCAAATAAAATTGGTCATTCACTTCATTGCTGTTTGTGGGATTTCGCTATGTGCAAATTGATTGCCATGTTCGTCTACAAGTACAGAATCACTACACTTTGCAGTAAAATCCTCTGAAGCATGTTGGGGGGTGGGGGATTAAGTGGAACTCAGATCCACTGCTGTGTGGTGCTACACATCAGTAGATTGAGTTTTTTTTAAAATCTTTCTTCTTTGGACGTGAATGGAGAACTCCAGTTTGTGGATAATCTCCACTGTAACATGTTTCACTACGCACCACGCTACTGTCAGCACCACTTCAACTATACAGTGAAAATGCATGGGAAGGCACATGGTTAACCCTGGCTGAGGGCAGTCATTCATGGCTTGGTCACCAGATCATGAGATCATGCTGTTCGGAAAAACATGGAAACATAGCCCTTGCTTCATAGAATGTTTCAGACTCATTCCTGAACACTGCAACTCGACAGAAGCCAAAATCCTTATGAAAGTTATGTATTACAAGCTCCTAAACTCCCCCATCCACCTCAGATTTCACTCTGTTTCCCTGCAGTGAACTGGAGTATTGTGCAGTGAAAGGATTTTATGTTGTGTTCACATGAGACTGACTGACAAGGTGAAGATCTCCTTTTTCTATATTGGTTACAACATGTAATATGTTTTAGGATTCTCAATCCAGTTCCTACTATAACTCAGACCTGGCCTCATTTGGTAATCTGATGTGCAAATTGAAAGTAATTGCCTGGAAAAGTAGAGGGCACTCACCTGAGAATGAAGCAAGTTGTTTGGAACAGTCAAAGTGCATTTCACTACTGGAGCTTATAATCTATCCTAACACTTCTATGCAGTATTGAAGAAGCACTGCATTTTTGTTTGTGCTATCTTTCAGCTGAGTCCTGTCTGTCTGTTCAAACCTTGGTCCTATCTGCCTGTTCAAACAATGTCATGGAATCTTTAATGGTACTCATTCCATTGAAAGGAAAAGGAAGTTTCTCCTGGTGCCTGGCTAACAATGTTCCAGATAAATTGATGCTCACCAGCATACGCACCTCCAGCAAGGGACAGCCATCAGCAACAAAAATCTAAATGTTTTTCTCTAATCTGAGACCGAATGGATAATATAAGGTTTGATAATCTTCAGGTTTGATTCCTAGAATACTGTACTGCAAGGTCCCCATGTTACCCAACACCATCTCTATCTCACTATAGTAATCTTTTTCCAATATTGAAATACTCAATATTTGGAGCTTAAAATCTTACAGCTCCTAGTTTGTTATACAGTCAACAAGCATGTAGAATGAATTGAGCTAAATAAGAATGACCATAAAATGTTATTCAAGATCACAGAAGAACCACGAATGGGACTTCTAGCCAGAATCCACAGCAAGAGGACTTTACGAAAAAGCTGCCTCCAGGCAGCAGTACAGGAACTAAGGGTGACTGTGAGTCCAGGTCTGGGTGCTGGTAACAACAAGGAACTGAGACTAATTTATCTGGAGCACTGTTGGCCAGACAATGAGAGAAATCCACTGATAAGTATATGGATATATCCCCAATGTTAGAATGATATTTGGCAAATTATGTTCTCTTGTCCAATAAGCAAATTCCCACTACTTTAATGCACAACTTTTGTTAAAATAACAGGTGTTACATTATGTGCCTGAGTAAAGCACCTACTTGATGAGCCCATCCTCCATGTAAAGATCAGCGTAGAAGGACTGGTCATCGTTGACAATACGGCCCCCTTTGATCAGCAGCCGGTCACTCTGCAAAAAGAAACCCAAAGGCCTTTTACACAAGAATCAATCACACCAATGTCCTTGTAGCTGCCTCTGATATTGGGAGCGGAATCTGGGGTTCTCTAACTTTGATCACTGGTATCATGTCTCAGCCACCAGCAAAAGTGTGTACTTGATGCACGGCACCATTGGCACACCTGACAACAACAATTTACATTTATATAATGCCCTCCACTCGGGGTAGATTCCTGGAGCGTTTGACAGTGGCGGAGTCTGGCGTTCAGCCAGGGGCAGAGAGAGGTGACCTTAAGCACAATCAAAAAGGTAGATCTTTAGGCAGGACTTGAAGGTGGGGAGGGAGGGAGGGGGCAAGGTGGTGGGATTGAGGGCGAGAGTTCCAGAGTTTCAGGGCATAGTTGCTGAAGGCACAGCCACCAATGGTGGAACGGGGGGAATGACGGACAAACAGGAGGCTGGAGCCAGCTGAGCAGAGGCAGGGGGAAGTGGAGTGGGGGGGTTAAGCAGATCGGATAGGTAGGGAGGTGCGAATTAATGAAGGGATTTGAAAACGAGTGAGAGGATCTTGAAATCGATCCATTCGGTAATTAGTAGCCAGTGGAGCCTGGCAAGGACTGATGTGTTAGGGGTACGGAGTTTTGTGTGGGTGAGCATCCAGGCAGCGGAGTTTTGGATTAATTAAATTTTGTGTATGGTGGAGTTGGGGAGACCAGTGAGGAGAGCATTGGAATAGTCAACCCAGGGAGTGGCGAAGGCGTGGACGAGCTCCCGGTAGTTGAGGAGTTCAGACCCACAGCAGAGAAGACGTTGACGGGAGCCAAAGCTTATGGCTTCCATCTTGCTGATATCCAGCTGCAGGAAATTTGCGCTCATCCAGGTCTTGGTGTCTGTCAAACAAGCTGACAGGACATTAGCAGACTGGGTCGCAGCTGGAGAAGTAGATTTGGGTGCCATCCGCATACATGTGGAAGTTGACCCAATGTCTTGGATGACATCGCCGAGAGGGAGCGTGTAAACAAGGAAAAGACACAGGTTTCCCCAGCAATTCAGTAATATAAGGTGAAAAACTGGTATTTTTAAACACATTCTGTTTCTTAATTAACAGTATATTGACTGGGCAAAAATAAATAATTATTAACTTTTATAAAGCACATTTACGTAAGAATATATTGTAATGCGTAGTGAATGTGTATTTTGTAGGTAAACTCGACAGCCAATTTGGGCACAACAATGTCCCACAAATAGTCATGAAGTGAATGATTGTTTTTTTATGGGGGAATGGTGGCCAGGACATCGGGAGAAACTCCCCTTTTTCCAATCGTGACATTGGATCTTTAACATCTCATCTGAAGGATGCAGGATCTTCAATAATGCAGCACTTCTTGGAGTGTCAATTTAGCTTGTGTTTGAACAAGCAATCTTCTGTCTTAGAAACAACAGTGCTATCAACTGAGCCAAGCTGATACCTGGTGTCTTGTGAAGAGGCTTTCAAACGCCATCTCCAGAGTTGAATAATATTCGAACACTAAGCTGGAGTCTAAAGTCGTGATTGAACAATTTTGAAGAGGCTTCTGAACAAACCATTATGCTAAAGACTGAGGTAAGTAGGGAGTGCTCACTCCTGATAGTTAAGGTCAGGTTTGCATTGTAGCTTATAGCCAGATATCTCGAAGACATGATAAGGCGCTATGTCAAATGCAAGGATTATCACTATTATTAAACTGTTCAATAAATATGAAACAAATTGTTTTGGAATATTGCAATTTCCCCTCCATTGACAGTTGTTACTCAGACATGATAGCAGTTGGTTTGCAGTGAAAATCACCGGGGCCATAGATACATGTCAAGTATGAGAATGTAGGCCAGTCAAGCCCCTGACAGTGCACATCCCTGCATGCCTGATCTTACCCGTACAGCATCCCACTTCTTTCTGAACTACCTAATGTTTCAGCCTCCACTACATCTTAAGATTAGTGGAACATTTGTCATTCCCAGTAAAGTAGTTCTTCCTAATATCAATTTAATCCTCACCTCTCTTCCCCTGCCCTACTTTCAGGTTTAATTCAAAGTACTATTCTGAGTTCGCTCCATTTACATCACTTAATGTGTTATATACAGTACCTCAATGGCCCCAATGGTACAATCCATGTGTGATACACCTGAATGAAATGCCCACTCTCAAGACTATAAATTAAACTTTTCACTTTATCCCCCCCTTTGTAGCAACAACGCTTTTTATCAGTGGTGCTTTTGTTTTTTTTGAGCCACGGTGACCTGTTCAACTTGAAAAAGAATCAGCTGCAGATTGTTCTGTTCTTTGAAGAAAATTCATTTTGCATCACAGTGATGGGACCCTTACCCTCAGCCTCAGGTCTTCTGAGCACCAGGGTAAGGGGCAGAGGGGAGAGGTACACAGGGGAAACAGGCACACCAGATTTGTCAGTAAAATAATGAATTTTACAATTCTTTTTGAAAACATATTATTCAACTTTTAGTGAAAAGCAGCGATTATTACAAGACAACAAGTGCTTGCTGCATAGTCAAATCCTTAACAATTTTTAAATAATGAATGGGAACAGTTGTGTTTGTAAACATTCAATTCAAGGAGAAAATTAATGCGTTACCCTAGAATCGTATTTATATATTCATACATTTATGCACACATGTGTGCACACACACACTCATGCACATACACAACGCAACTACAGTATATGCACACGCATCACACAAGCATGCGTGCCTGCAACGTTGTACAAAACTTTGGACGATTGAGCTCAATGCAAAAGATATTGCCTTTTATTTTTGTCCATGTTTGGGTGGGGGGAATGAATGGGAATTAACAATAGTTATTTCAATAGCTCCTGTGGGTAGTGTGTTTTCATAAGAGGATTAGTTCCCTGTCTAAGCTTCAGGCTACAAAGGTCTGGACTGAAGTGTGTGTAAAAAAACAAGTTACTTCTCATTCGATGGATGCCCAAACCCTAAGGAGACTCTCAGGCTAATGAATGTAGTGACAGATGAGCAGACCCGCTCCTCTCTACACAATAAAAGGCAGCTTCACCTCCAGGATCACCACAGGATTAAGAATCCTTAATCAAACATCAGCTGCACAAATGTGGATTTTTAATAAACAGCTAGAGATGCAGATTGTTTTTATTAAAAACATTTTTTATTTGAAATTGTAAAGCCCACATTCTAAAATGCAGGGGGTGAAAACTGACTGTGATGGAACATATTGTATTAAAAATGCAATAGCTGATGTCTTAATTTATTGACTGGTCTCCCCACCCTCTCCCTTGGGATTCCTTCACCCTACCCCCGATTCTCTGGACTTTAATCATGGTGATTGGACACAAAGCAGCCTCCACTTCCCAGTGGACCACCTTCTTTTTACCAGTTATCATGATACCAGTGTTAGCTATTCTCTAATCCTTTGGCTGTGTTAAGCCTGATAGCCTGCACTCTGTGGGCCCACGGTACAATGGGCAGAACTAGCTTCAGGCTCATTCATTGTCACAGAGTTGGGGAATGTCACATCTGCAGACCAGTTGATTAATTAATTGACTGGCCTCATTTTCAACAATATGTTGATTTAACACATCACAATTCCCAAGTTTCCTCCCACCGTTTTGTTTTCAAAAAATGTAGAGAATAGGAAGACAGTAGTTGGGTTTCTGTAAGAGATATTTTCATAGCAATGGACAGTCTGCCCCTAACTCTGGATCTCCATCTCAGAATCCATTCACTTGCAAACATTACTGACACTAACTTAACCGTCACTGTCACCCAGAGCAAAAGGGCAAATGAGACTGGAGTCACATGGCACCATCTTCAAAGTCGGCGTGGATGACACAGTGCGTTATTGTCCTTGGAAGCAAGAGCCACACAGAGCAGCACTGGCAAGGGCTTGGGCGGAATGGGCGGAAAATGTACACCACTCTGGCATCTCAACTCTTAAGCGGTTCAAATAAAATTTGCATCTTAGCAACACTTAGTTTTGGAGGTGGTGTGGGGGAAAGGAGGGAAATATCTTTGGTTACTGGTGCCAGCAACTTGAACAAGAGGAATTTCTATCATCAGAGGCACCCCAAAACACGTTTTTAAAAAAATATACAATCTTGGCAGGAAGCTAAATTGTTAAATAAGATGGTAAAGTGGGAAGCCGAGTGAGGCGTCAGGCAGTGGAATCACAACAGATTCCAAATCGTACAGATTTCACTTTCGAATAGTTGATAGGGTCTGAAATAGGGTAAAATGGAGAACACTGAGGCAATGCAGTAGCTGAGAAGCATGCCGGCCTGATCAATAAAGGGAGGCAGCCCACTTACAATGGTCGCAGTGTTTGCACTGCCAAACTTCCTATTCTGGCTAACAGCAAGAGTAATTGGAACAGGAAGTGAAGTCTGGGGAGGTGATGTGTGTGCGCATTAACATTTGGTGATAGTTAAGGGAAAAAAACGTTACGACATTTTTTTTTGCTCTCTTCCCAACACACCCACCCAACGAGAAAAAGAGGCAGGCACAAAAAGCACTCCTGGCTACTAATGGTTGCAATTTGACAGCGGTGCCCTTGTAATAAAAGCAACCTCTCAAGATATGGGAAGTGGTGTAGAAATGCGCCCAGCACTTGCTGTTTCCCATTAGGAGTTTAAAATGCAGGCAATTGGCTCTCTGACTACACCCAAACCTTGATTTTTGCAGAAAAGTGTAACGCGACATATTGTGAAAGGAATTTTAAAAACAAGATGCAAATACAAAAGTCATTCTGTGTTCAGAATACAGGAGCTCCTTTTTCCTCTGAACCAGTTATACTATAAAGGAAGCATTTTATGATTTTCTGTTAGCGAGAAAAGCCATTAAAAAAAAGGGCCGTATATGAGAGGTCACATTATATCCGAGAGGCTTGTTAATGGAATCCTTTTCACAGACTGACTAAAAAAAGATTTTTTCCGAGCCTGGCGCTGGTTTGACCCATTCACTTTCCTCACAGTCTGAACCATTACAGTAGT